CACAGCATGACATGTAATGAAGGACTCCTTTCCAACTGAGGCAAAGGCATCATCCTTTCGTATGCATTTATGGAGAAGGACTCAAGGAGATCCCAACTGTCAAAGGAGTTAGTGTCTAGTGGTCCCCAGGACTATCCAGAGCACATCCTAACCCTGGTCCAGAATCAGAGGCCAGAACTTCCTCGCAGACCTCAGGCAAGTCATACCCCCTCTCTGACACTTCCTGACCACGCCATACAATGGGACTCAAAAGTTGACTGAGCACCTCAAATAACTCAAGGAGTCAGTTCTTACATAGAAGACTGGTTCCATTCTACATTGGGAGGTCTGTAGAAGAAGGAAATCCTTTTACTCATGTGTAACTCCACCTATGGTATCCCTAACCAACAGAATATGAACTCCGGCAATGTTTATAAAGTAAGAAAATGTTCCTTTAATCCCTCCATTCATGATCTGCCCTTTGGGGTTAACCAGTGACCTCTCTTAGGCAAAAACACAGGTCTTACTCTAAAATGTCATGTTCCTAGCACTTTGGGCGTCTGCAAAGTTATCAAGTACTACTTAGAAGAGGAAGTACCAAAGGCATCATAAAAAAAAAGAAGGGTCAAGTTTAGATGAACATCATTTTTATCATTATCACAGAAAATATTTGTCCATTACATGCTATTTGCCAGGTACTATGCATTCATTATCTCATTTGATCTCCATAAAGACCTCATTTTACAGATGTGGGAACTGAGGCTCGGAGAAATCACTCAGCATCACACAGTGAACAGGAGATTGAAGCAAGATTCTAAGGAGAGCACAGAGCCTGAGCTACCTGCTTCCACTTAGACAAAGTCTTTCTTGTAGGAAACTCAGAAAGAAATTCACTCAGCCTCTCTGCCTTCTCAGGCAGGAAAAGAAAAACCCAGAAAGGGAACAAGGACTTGCCCCAGCCTTGCTGTGTCCCAGCATCAGAGCCCAGGCCAAGGTTCTTTTGTGTTTTATCCATGTGTCCTCTACCCCTGGCTGCAGAAAAAAGTGAAGAGATGGAGGAGCCATGGGAGAAGGAAGTGATGGGGTCTGGGGAGGAGGTAGAAAACAAACAATGATCCCAAGGAGAGTGGCTGCCTTCTTATTACACCAGCCTCACTCAGTGGCTATACCCCCCTCCTCCATTTCCACACCTACAGTCGGCCTGTCCCACCCACTCCTACCTTAGCCTGGCTCCCCTGGAAAAGCCTAATGCACCACAGCCCTTAGGCTGTCATACACCTTTAAAAGGGCCTACCATTGGGGTTTGGGGCCAGGGAGAAGAAACTGGAGCCTCAAGGAAGCCAGCTCATCAGGCAGCTCTAACGTTTCTGAGCAGGGATGACTAAGAGGTGGAGAACCTGAAGCTGAGAAGAAGCACCCCTGCCTGTCTACCTGCCCAAACTCTTCTCTGGCTCCCCACCGCTGGGGCCAACCTCCTCACCACTACAGCCTCTGCAGCTCTACCTGGCCTGGCCCTGCCGGTTGGTCCTCAGCACTGCTCATGGAGCTGCCCCTTAGTCTCGGCCCCTGCTACATTGGTTCTCAGCTTTTCAGGGAAACGGGCCATGCCTGTTCATTCTTCAGACCTTTGCAGGAGTTGGGTCTTCAACCTTGCTTGTGCTCAGGCTCCTTCCCCTCCCCCAACCCCAGTCCTCCACATTCACTTTATGCACCCAACTCCCAAAAACTCAGTTTAAATGTCACTTCCTAAGGGAAACCTTCCCTAACTCCACAAGACGTCCTATCACACGCTTTCAACCCACTGGCCTGGTCTTCTCTTGGTACTTTGCAGTCTGTCTTGACTTGCGTGATTGTTTCATTAATACCTGTCTCATCCACAAGTCTGTAAACTCCATGAAGCTAAAGACCGAGTCTACTCGTTGTACTCTTCACTTCTCAGGGAAGTGGCATATAGTAAGTACTCAAAATTACTGAATGAATGAATGAATGAATGAATGAATGAATGAATGAATGACTAGTGCTCCAAGAATTCCAGATCTCCTGTAAGGAGAACAGTGACATCTAGTGACTGCGTTCACACTGGAGCTTCTCTGATAACATCCACCGACTGGCCTTGAAAACATCTCATTGGATTTCCGAAGAAGTGGATATTTTGATCATGCCGAGGAAGCTGGCATAGAATCCAGACATGGAGGAATTTGACTCCTACACAAGGAGGAAAAGAATCACCACTCCTCTTGCTACCACATGTGCCAAGAACACATCACATAAGTCCTGTGACTTAGCTAGGATGGTGCCACATTACAGATGAGAGGAGCGTGGCCCAGAAAGGCAGCACTGGGCCAAGATTATGGAGCAGTAAATGAGGATTTTCATTTACCTCCCCCACCAAGTCCTGGAGAGCTTGGCCCCATGCAGCTAACCATGCTGCTTTGCTCATCCACACTAATACAACACTGGTCAGGCCATCTTTGGTATTCACTGGAAGTTTCAACAGCTTCCTCATAGGTCTCCCTCTTTCCACACTTGCATTCTCACACTCAGCTCTCACCCTGAAGCTGGAGGAGTGGAGATACACATTTGACTTTTTGTTGTAGTTAGTGTGGGGACCTCTGATGCATAGAATTAGATTATCCATGAGGCTTGGCTCATGACTCAAGTTCATTATTGTACCATGCATGGTTAGGCTTTATGTATTCATCTACTTTGTGTTCATTAATTAGCTAGTTTTAATACTTTAAAAAAAAAAAAAAACTTCCACAAATCCACCACCCAAAAATGCCAGGTAGGAACATGATACCTCCATGTAATGAGGGCTCCCTCATGCCATTGCCCCGCCTCCCTGACTCCAGATAGCCATCATCCTGAATCCTATGTTGACCATTTCCTTGATTCCCTTTCTAAATAGTTAATAGCATGGGCCCCTGGGTGGCTCAGTCGTTAAGCATCTGCCTTTGGCTGGGGTCGTGATCCAGGGGTCCTGGGATTAAGCCCCACATCAGACCCCCTGCTCATCAGGAAGCCTGTTTCTCCCTCTTCCATTCCCCCTGCTTGTGTTCCCTCTCTCACTGTCTCTCCCTCTGTCAAATAAATAAATAAATAAATAGATAGATAGTTTATAGCACCTGTATTCATTCTAAAAATGTAGTGTATTTGGCGTGTATCTGTTTAATTTGAAACAGGGGAAAGGGTATCATGCTATATAAAATATATCTTTGGGACTTACATTCTTCATTTAATATTATGTTCATTCATCTCATATTAAGTGACACTATAGTTCATTCATTTTGTCTGTGGTAGAGTATTCCACTGTATGCATATTCCATTGTACGCTTATTTAACTGCTCTCCTACTGACAGTCATCTGGGTTGTTTCCAGAGAGCTCCTTCTGCTGCACGAATCTAACCCTATCGAATCCTTCCTGCATATCCTAAGCATCTCACTCCCCTTCAGACAGGATCCAAATTTCATGAGCTAGTTTATAATAACCTGTATGATCAGGCTCCTTCTGACCTTTCTGGCCTCGTCTATGCTTTTCTTCTATCTCTTGATCTTAGCCATGGGATGCCTTTCAGTCTTTGTACAGATCATGTTCTTTTCTGCTTCTGGTCATCTACCTGACACTCTCCCCACGTCCTTGCTCTCAACCCCTCTCTGTCCTCTATGAAGCCCTACCTGACCACTTACCAACCTCTAGCACTTAGTCCAACAGAATACTCTGGTAAGTGCATGATCCATAGCATCTTATTAGTATTGGTCAGGTATCTACCAGACTATCTTCTTTGGGGCCCAGGGCAATCTGGGAGTTGCTGCAGAGGGAAGACTGGGGACTAAGTAGAGATGCTTTACCCACCTTCCTTTCCCTAACTGAAGGAGTGGCATTGCTATTCTTTGCTTTATGGATTGGGGTTCCTGAAAGATTGCATTTAGAAAAAGTGTTCCATGAATACAATTTTGCAAACCAGTGAACAAACCATTTATATGGTCTCTTCAAGCCCAGGCATACTGTCATAGGAAATGAAAGATGCAGGAAGAGGAAAAAGAGGAGATATAATTTCACAATTAAGCACATAGGCTCTGAAGCAGACCAACTTTGAGCAAATCAATAAAATCTTCGAGGTTTCCTCACTTGTAAAGTGGGCATGACATTAGGATGAACCATATGGAATCACCATATTTTTTTAAAAAATTATTTATTTGAGAGAGAGAGAGAGAGCAAGTGCGTGCACAGGGAGGGGCAGAGAGAAACTTTAGCGGACTCCTTGCTGAGCTCGGAGATCCATCTCATGACCCTGAGATTATGACCTGAGCTGAAACCAAGAGTTGAACGCTTAACCAACTGCGCCACCCAGGGGCCCCTGGAATTATCATTTTTATAAGTAAAAAATGATCAAATGTTGACAATTTCATTCGAGTCAAACCAATATTTATACATAAATCAGATCTGCAGGGAAGATTAAATGAGATAATCCAAGTATAATATTGAGGCAGACACTGTTAGGTTTTCAAAAAAGCCCATATATCTTCTTCCCCAGACCATTAGATAGACTGTATTTCCCTGTTTTTGTTTGCAGACACGTGTGCCCAGTGTCTGCGTTCTACCCAATGAAACGATATTTGTCACTTTCAGGCTTGGCCCACGAAACTTCTCACATGTGATCCTCCATGTTCTTTCTTCTTCCACAGCAACTATGGAAGCCTCAGGTTGATGAGGGCACAAAACAGAATAAGGTGGGTCTCTGAACCACTTCTCAGCGTGAAGCCACTCATCATCAGAAACATTTATTTGGGACTCCACACAAACAAGAAATAAGTTCTATTATATTAAGCCATTGAGATTAGAGGATTTATTGGTTATAGCAGCTATATATGTCCTTAAAACATGGTAAGGAATCAATAAATGTCAGTCATCACCATGATGATGTTGAAAGACAATCCCAATGGACAAAGGGCCCACAAGGGCGGGAGGCAGGAAGATTGGTACTTAGATGTGACTTAGTGGCTGTGTCAGGGGAACTCACCTCCTTGGTACCATTGTCTTGGATGAGGGTATAAAGTGGTACCACACGGTTGATTTCCAGCAGCACTGGTGTGGGGCTCAGCTGCTCCTTGCCTGGTCGGCGGCAAAGGTGGCAGGTAGACGGACAACGGCCTTTTTCCTCACAGCGGATCTCCACACCTGAGATGAGCTGGTCATCCGACAGCATTTGGGCCGTCAGCAGACCTGAGAGGTAGGTGATGAAGGGCATGGACTTGAGTTCCTTCTTGCTTCCCAGCTCTGTGGTCTCTAGAGAGAGAGAGAAAAATTCAATATTGTTCAAAAGGTCAGACTCTTAAACCCATAGGGTCCAATGTGCTCAGGAGGTGGTATGCCATGGAAAAGAGAAAAGATGATAGAGTGGTTTGCTCATGATGCCTTGGAAAGAGAGCACTGGCCTGATGACTCAGATGTCAGAATGGTGTCTTGTTTTACTATTCATATTAAATAGCCCCTTACTTACTTTCTCTGGGCCTCACTTTTTCCATATTTAAAGTTGATTGGTTGGATAAGAGGATTTTCCAAGGGCCCTGTAAGATGTAAATATTCAAAGGTATTTTTCCCAACAAGAAATTCCTGTCTACAGTCAATGTACACAAATTCTACCTTTCTTTTGAAAACTTGCTCCAGTCCTATATTTTCCAAGAAGTTTCATGTAATGGGGGAAACACAAGCTGAAGTCAAGTCAATTTCCATGTAAATCCCAATTCTGCTTGATAATAGCAAGGTACCTTGGGAAGGTCTCTTAATATCCCAAGGCTTATAAGGATTAATTCTGTAAAATGCTGTTATAATACTAACCAAAACAGTTATGAGTGGTAAATGAGACAGAAGGAGGTGGACCTGTCTGGAAAAGAAATGATTTCCCCTTTCTGTCTGTGCTCATCTGTTCCCTTGTTCAAACTTCTTTTTCTGCCTTCCTCATGTGCACACTGAGATCTAATTACCCATGCTCCATTCTGTGCTGTCTCCCCTGATCCATACAACTAGTATTTCCCACCTCTGTGTCTTTGTTCACCTGTCCTCCTCTTCCCCTCTGCCTCTTAAAATGTTTACCACCAATCAATGCTCCATTTCAATGTCACCCTCTTTAGGAAGTCTTTTCTCCTTGCTCTAGCCCTTCTTCTCTGAATAAGTATTTGTTTATAAGCCCTAATCTTGTTAAGCTCATATTTTTCATCCCATTTTCTGCTGACCTCTCCAACCATATGATCAGCTCTTGGAGATGGGACCATGTCTCCCACTCCCACCTCCAGCTCCCCGCCTCTGCTTCAGTGTTCAGTACAGTGGTAGGGATGTACTTGAGACTTAGTCAAAGAGGAAGATTATAGAACTCTGAATGGCTACAATGACATTCATGATCTAGTCAAAGAGGAAGATTTTGGAACTCTGAATGGCTACAATGACATTCATGATCTAGTCTAGAGGTTCTAAAATCCTTCTGAGGAATTCTATGGATCCCAAGCAACATTTCAACAGATGGTTGCAGAGGGCAAGAGGGAAACTGGGTAGATGGAACTCTAAACCCACATCTCAGTTTCAAATAGAGCAGTTCCACTTTATCTCTTTTATACACTGGCCTTCTACATAAGACTTCATAAGAAGAGAATAGTCTATGGCTATATCAAAAAGCTTGAAAAAGCAAAGTGATTTGTACAACCCAGAGAGTTCCATTTACATCACAGACTATATAGACGGTGTTTTCAAATTTGTGCAATGCATAATCTGAGTGGCAAAACAGGGGGGCCCTGCAATAAGGGGCAGAACTTGGTCCAAATGACAGCTTCTTCCAAGCCTGGTAAAGTTAAGGCACGCTCCCGCCTCAGTGCAAACAGGGGCCCTGGGCACCGGGGCCTGAGAAAAAAAAGTAGGGTTATCTCCTGCTCTAGCTCTCAGCTTGCAGTAACATGCAGCTGATCTGGAAATGGGCTTGCCAATTAGAAATACAAATAAATGCAGCCTTCATTCATTACTCTCTGGGCCCTCGGGCCTGGGATCTGGGCTCCACCTTTTCTGTCTGGCTGTCAGCAAATGCTTATGAGCATCAGATCAAAGGCTCTGAGGGAGGAAGACAAGGCAAATTCCAGCTAACCAATCCTTCAGAGGGATTAAAGAAGGGTAGTTACTAAGATAAACAAAACAAAGCTGAGAGGAAGGCATCTGAGCAGCTGGGCAGACAGAGACAGTCTTACATACAGACAAGTTGAAAGAAGATGATGATGACTTTTGGAAGGGCAGGCCAGAGGAACAGTTTTGGAGAAGGGTGACTTCAAACTTGGGAGAGAATAACCATTGAGGGGAGAAGGTCAGAGGGCAATCAGAGCTGCAAGGACATTAGGGGGGTAGTTAACTCACACTCTGATCCAGAGGTCAGTAAACTAAGTGGTACATGAGTCAAATTCAGCCCTCTGCCTTTTTTTGTAAATAAAGTTTTATTGAAACACAGGCACCTTCATTCATTTATGTATTGTGTATGACTACAATGGCACAATTGAGTAGTTGCAACAAAGATGCTATGGCCCACAAAGCCTAAAATATTGACTATCTGATCCTTTACAGAATAAGTTTGGGCACTTCTGCTCCAGTCCTAGGTTACAGCTGGGGAAACTGAGTCTCAGAAGGAGAATCTATCTTTGGTCACACAGGAATGTGGCAGTATAATGGATTAAAGTAAAAACATTGGAATCAATTAGGCCATCGATACACTTAAACTGTGAATCTCCAATGAGAAAAAATTGAGTGGGGCATCTTTTCTCCATAAAACATCTTTCAAAAACTATTGAAAAAGCATACCTTGGAAAATGCTAATCTGGTACAACCCTCCCATTTTAAACAAGGGGAAATTGTGTCCCAAAGAAAGACTTTTCCAAGGTCAGATGGTGAGTTAGTGTTCCTTTCAGCACATGATCCCAGTCTCTTCTGTTAATCAATTTATCACTTAAACCACATTTTAATCTCATATTGTAAAACATAGATGGCCTTTCCCTCACAGCATCTTGCCATATACACATAATTTAATTGGGAACGAAATGTGGTGCTGGGAGTAAAAATTCCCTTGATCAAACATTCATAGCCACTGGGTTAAAGATAAAATTATCCATTTACAACAAAACAAGCTATAGATCTTTGCTGGTCTGTTTTGTTTTTTTTTTTCCAATAAATCTTTTTTTTTTTCCCATCTATCAATCCAATAGGTGAGTTAAAAGCCCATAGTCTAGGCTGACAACTGCCTTGCAGTAGTGATAGAGAATTCAGAGCTGAACTTAAGGGCTGGTTTTGCAAAAGGAGGGCACTTGAGAGTCACCTGGTCTAACCCCATTGCTCAACAAATGAAGAACCTGAGACCTAAACAGAGAAAGAGATTTATGTCTATCTTCCATGCACATTTATTAACAATGATCCTTTTTGTAAAGATTGTATTGTGCTTAAATTATAATCTGGATGAGTTACAACAGGGAAGACCATTAGCCATTCCATTAATTATTCCTCTGTAGACATTACAATTGCGAAAGCTAATTATTTCTGATCCAACCTCTCTCTGTGGCTAAAGTCATCTTTAGTTCAAGTGCCAATTCTTCAGAAAAGCCTTCCCTGAACTCCAGCCCCATGCTACCAATCTATATAGGGCATCATATTAAAGATTTTCGTAGCATCCTGTTCTATCCATCACCTCTCAGTGCTTCCAGACTGTAAACTCCATGAGGACAAAGACAGTATTAGTTTTGCTGATTCTCATATCCACTTCACATAGAACCTTTAGGCTTTCAGTAATAGTTTAGATAAATATTTGTTGGATATACAGTTAATAGACTTGTGATCACTGCACTATCTTATCAGAGCATTGATAAGTCTAAGAGCCAAGATTTGTGAATTTCAAGACTGACAATTAATTGATGGCTTGTAATCAAGGGACAACCTCTTTCCAAAGTAAAATTAGCTTTCTCAATTGGAAGGTTTACAGATGAATAGCTGATCAATTTGCCAGTTGTTCTGGCCTCCTCTGGGTTTTCACATAGGCCCTTGCCATTGAGGGGATGGGAGAGTTCAGTTAAAACAGGCTGTCTTTAACAGGCAAGGATAAAGAGCATTTTTGAAGAGACTTATCCTCTGTTCACATTTCCCATCCCTCTGAACAATGCTTCCAAAATAGGATCATGTCTGGTTTTAAGCCCAATTCAGTTCCAATGACACTACAACCCATTCATTTGAGAACCTGCCAACTGAACTCTCTTTTTTCTCCTCCCAAATTCCTGCTGGGTATTATTTTGTTGCCACCAAAAAAAAAAAAAAAAAAAAAAAGCAGCAGCCTTAGTTGAAGTGACAACTCCTTGTTGGGAGGGCAGCCAGGGCTTTTCGGCAGGAGGTGATGGCACTGCTTGCCCTCATCCAGAAAACAAAACAAAGGCAGCAGACTAAGGGCTCCTGGGAGAGCCAAAGCTGTGCGAATGTTTGTTCAATATTCGGCAACAGTGCAGGGCGCTGCCTCCCAAGTCAGACAGGCTTGCTTTGGCAATAGGCTTGCACTTGAAGCATTTAAAGGCTCCACAGGGACCAGAGGGGCTCAAATTAGAAACGTTAAGGGTGAGGGAAAGAGGGTGAGACTTTTATATCATAAAGAATGGCCTTTATTACAGCAATGGCCTCCCAGGAATTGCTGAAATGGGATCATTTCTTAGGCGGAGTCACTGTCTCCTGTTGGAGGAAAGCAATTGCTCCGAGGCCTGACTCAAGGACCCACACAAATAGCCTTAACAAAGGGAAAGGAGCCAGCTGAAAGGCCTTGTGCTCGTGCATTGTGCAATCCAAACTTCCCAGCCTAACAGTGAAGGTCCTGCATCGTCAGTGTGCCCTTCCCAAGTCATGGCACCACCCTGACTGAATGAATGAGTTCTTGTGAGGATCAAATAAGGTGCCTGGCAAAGGTTAAGCACTCAGTCCATGTTAGTTGCTGCTGTTGTTGCTGCTATGGTTGTTATAATTATTAGCGCTACTGTTGTAACAGGATGTTACAATTGAAATTTCCACTGAGACACCAAGATAGAATAGAAATGAAATATCCCCAAACCAAGCCCCAATATGCAGAACTTACAAAGGAGGGGAATCCTAACTGGTTTCATAACTCCAGAAACCTCAGCCAGAACAAGGAAATAAAACAAGGTCAGAGAATAGGCAGGAGGGATTTAGGAGAGATTTGTTTGAGACAGGCTGTTAGCGCATGTTTAGAGTTTCCAGCGCCCCAGGTG